CAGGAATGGGCAATCTCTAGCCTGACAGGTGCTGTGGGACTCCAACTCCCATCATCCCTCCTTGCTGCTTAGACTGACTGGGGCAGATGGGAATTGTAGTCCGGCAAAATATGGAGGACTGATGGTTCTGCAACCCTGTGCTAGATGGGCTGAACTAAACCTCAGACCTGAGCTTCTTCATAATGTTCTTCTCCAACCAACTCAGATGGCTTTAAAAGACACCCTCCAATGTCCACATAATGAGCAAATTCTACAAAGTAACCCCAATGTGTAAGCGTCACCGTAAATTTATTTATCACCCCGTTTTCCATCATTCCAACTATGGGGCAGGACTGGAACTGCCCATTTCTAAATATTACCACTTGGAACAAAAGAAGTCTGGGAAATGTACTTCTGAAAATGTGCCAGATGATAAAAGAGTTCTCTCGCAGGAACTACAACTCTACAGTCCTTTGAGGAAAGCCATGACACCCCAAGGTCATTGAGAGGGCTCCCCCTTCCTTCTCTTTCCTTAATTTTTATCAAATTTTCTGTTTTACATTTTAGAATACAGTGGTACCTTGGTTTTCGAGCATCTCGGAAGCCGAACGTTTGGGTTTTTGAACGCCTAAAACCCGGAAATCAATGCTTCCGTTTTCGAACGTGCCTCAGAAGTCAAACGGCTTCCGCTGAGTTTTTTTTCAGTTTTCTCCACTGAATTTGCAGACCGCCCTTTGCACCTCAGTTTTCAAACGTTTCAGAAGTCGAACGATCTTCTGGAACGGATTACATTCGAAAACCGAGGTACCACTGTATTCATTTAAACAACCTTAAAATATCAATGACTTCCCTTCCTCTCTTTCCATGGTTCGTTTTGCCTAACATAAATCCCTGCATATTTTACATAAACTAAACCATTCAGTATTCCATTATTACACCCATCAAAACTTATTTTCACTGTTGAATTTATCTTAATGCTGCCAATGTTTTCAAGTGTACACAATTTCCCCACATATAATCAATAAATGTTTTCCAATCTTCCTTCAACGTATGTTCTTCTTGTTCTCTTATTCTATATGTTAGGTCCAGAAGCTGCGCATATTCCATCGGTTTAAGTTGCCATTCTTCTTTAGTTGGGACCTCGCTCGTTTTCCATTTTTGGGCTAAGAAAACACGGGCTGCAGTAGTAGCAAAAAAAAGAAAAAGAAAAAAAAAGAGGGCTCCCCCTTCCTAAATGAAGCAGTAAACAGCAATCACAAGTAACAAGATATAATTTACAATCACCTCTCGGTCCAGTCTGCCTGGCCTCCTAAGTGCAGGGTCCAGGGCATCGGGTCGATTTGTCGCCGCCACGATCACTATGCCATTTTCTCCCCCGATGCCATCTAGAAGAGTTAGCAATTGAGCCACCAGACGATTTTCCGGGGCATTACTTGAACTGCCCCGTTTAGGACACAACGAGTCGATCTCGTCAATAAAAAGAACAACCGGTCCTTCGCTGGACAATTCTCTTGCTTGTTCAAAAACTCGCCGCAAGTTCTCCTCGCTTTCGCCAGGCCTCGAACCGTAGATTATAGGGCCATCAATGCAAAGCAAGCTGGCACCAATTCCCCTGGCGACCGATTTCACCAGAAGAGTTTTGCCCACTCCTGGAGGCCCCACCAAAAGCACTCCTCTAGGGACAGAAAGGCCCAGCTTCTGGAAGGTTTTGGGAAAGCGCAAGGGCAAGTCGATCATCTCTTTTAAGGAGGTGCTGGCGTCATTCATGCCCGCCACCGGGATTCTGGCGCTGTCCTCCATCGAATGGTTGTGCCAATCTAGTGTGACTGCCTCTTTGACAGTTACACCGGTTTTGAGGGTTACCAAACCGGCTTCTTCTGCTGTGGCAGGCTCCATGGACAATATTTCAACACATGCCAACGGATTGCCTGGAATTGACGCAAAGGTAACGACGTGATGGGGAGAAACGTAGGCCTTTCTCAGAAGTTCCTTGACCATGTCCTGCACCATGGTTTTTGGAGTAGATTTTTTCAAGGCACGGTTCTTAAAGATGACTTTGACTGTCACTCTCCTGAGCTTGCAAGAAGGCAAGAGCTTCAATTGGTCCATGCTCACTGTGAGATTTTGGGGCTGGCACTTCTTTAAGCCCAAAGTTCTGCACTTGAGATCGACCTGCAAATAGCCATCGGCCAAATCGTGCCTCGGCCAGGCGGTACAGAGACAGCTGCCAGTAGGGAGGGTGATCTTCACGGGGGAGCCCAGTGTGGCACCCAGGGCAGAGAATACAGCAGGCCCCAGCCTGCACCTTTGGGTGCCTTCATCTTCGGGAACCTGCGGCAACAGCTTTAACAAAGCCATCTTCACGGCGAGCGGCTGGGTTGCAAATCATACACGCAGATGTTTCTCTGCACAGTTTAGAATGAAGAGGGAAAAAGAAAAAGAAAATTAGCTGATTTTATTTAACAATAGTGTGTGCAGGTTTTAGGAAGGAGGAAAACAGATTTCAGGGAGAGGTGCAAGTTTAATAGAAAGGTTCAAAGTTCTCGGATGCATTCAAGAATAAATTACAAGACAGCCGTAAATCTGAAGAGCCTTTCTGTTATCATTCCATACATAAAATTTGCCTGAAAAAGAAATACTTTTCTGAATCACAGAATGTGAAGGGGTCTGCCTTTCCTGAATAGTTTATCTAACACATGGATGGAGAACCTCAAACTGAGAGGACTAACATGGCCCTCCAAGCCTCTTTATATGGCCCTCAGACAATTCCTAGCCCCAGTCTTCCTCCCCAGTTTCTTTATATCCTCCCCAAGATCTTTTGCCTGGCTAGAATGTGCCCTTGACCCCGATCATGCTTTTTACTTGCCTAGACGCAGGAGAAAGAGGGATCAAAGAATGTATGTAGAAACAGGCTTACTGTAGTAGCAGTAGTAGTAATAATAATAATAATAATAATAATAATAATTTAATTTATATCCCGCTCATCTGGCTGGGTCTCCCCAACCACTCTGCGTGTCTTGCAACATATACCGTATTTTTCGCCCTATAGGACACACTTTTTCCCCTCCAAAAATGAAGGGGAAATGTGTGTGCGTCCTATGGGGCGAATACAGGCTTTCGCTGAAGCCTGGAGAGCGAGAGGCTCTCGCTCTCCAGGCTTCAGGAAGCTCTGCGCAACCCTCCGGAGGGTTGCGCAGAGCTGCCTGCATTCCGAAGCCTTGGGCGCGCTGAAGAGCGCGCCCTGGCTTCGCACAGCTGTCCGCAAGCCTGGGGAGACCGGCGCGGCTCCCTAGGCTTGCGGATAGCAGGCTGTTCTGGGGGCTGAGGAAGCTCGGGCTTCCCCCGCGCCAGCCCTGTGCCGGGGGGGGGGATAATTTTTTTTTCTTTATTCCCCCCCCAAAAAGTAGGTGCGTCCTATGGGGTGAAAAATACGGTAAAACGCAAAGCATCAAACATTAAAAAACAAGGCATCCTATACAAGCAACATGCAAACCAATAAAAACCAATAACAACACCAACAATAAGTTTACAGTTATACCCAAATTAAAGTAACCGCCAACCCCAACTAAACATTTAACCAACATCAACCCGACAAAAATGAAACAGAGGAACCAAAATTAACTTTTACAAAGGTAAAAATTACTGTTCCACCCACTTTTGCTTCTGGGCATGTATCCCCTGGGAGGTTGCCTATGAGGAAATGTAGCCCGTAGAAGTATATATATATATACACCTGGTAAAATAAGATGCTTATACGATCTTCATGCACGTAATGTTGCCTATTTATATATACTGCAATTTTCCTCTACCAGCATAACCATCGTAGAGGCAGCAGCGCTCACTTTGAATCTGTCCTCTGCCCTGAAACCCTTTTTAACTACCAATGCACAATTCACAAACAAGAAAGCTGGTCCTTGGATACACACAGAAGACCTTCCCTTTGTTGCTATGGGCAACCAGCTGCAACAATATGGGGGGCAATATGGGGCACAATTTCTAGGTAGCCTTGAGCATCAGCAGGCCTTTTGTTGACTAGCTCTCAACCCAGCCAGTAGTTATAGGAAGCCCGTAAGGCCCATTGCTAGAGCCTAGGCTTTTCATACAGAAGGTTACAAGTTCAATCCCAACTAAAAGCATCAAGTAGCTGGAGAAGCATCAGGTGAAGCTGCTGCCAGTCCGAGTAGGCAATGCTGGCCTAGATGGAGCAATAGCCTGACAATGGCTTAAGCGGCTTCTTATAACCTATCTTCCAATCCACAAACTCAATTCTGAAAGCACAATGCTCAAGGATAGGTACGCAATTATTTCATCAAATTTATATCCTGCTTTATTGTTTTTTAAGAAAACCAGTAAACACAAAGGAATAAACACAAAGGAACGCATTCCCAGAGACAGGCATCCCAAGCCATACATAAAATAGAGCCACAAAAAGCAACATTTCCCAGTTTAATTTCTAAAAGCATGAGTGTCTGCAGGATTTTTCCTCAGGTGGGAGATCCACCCACCCCGTAACTGAACTAACTGAACTAAGACTTTCTAAAAAAAAAATATTATGCATTTTATATTCTCATTTTGTTTTTGTTTTTTCTGTCGTGAGCTGCCCTGGGCTATTCGGTTGAAAGGCAGTATACAAATTTAATGCCTAATTAAGATACGACCATTGCTCTAGCCGGCATTTTAGGGCAGCATTGGGATTAATGATAATTATTTTCCATTGTCTTGCTGCCCCGTTTATCTGATGGGATTTATGGATGTGGCTCAGAAATGTGAATAATTAAGCGTTATTTTAGAAGGAATAAAATAAAGATGAAAGGCATGCAAGTTCCTGATGAAACAAAGGAGAAAAGCGCCTGCATATCTCAGGCAGACAGGTATAAGAAGACTGCAGCCTAAACACTCACCAGGCACCAGCGATTTAAAGGCATTTTCTCCTTCTTTGCAAGCAAGCAAAGGGAAAGGGGGAAGGAAATGGTACAGTGCAGCCCGCTAATTGGCTAACCGGCCTGCCAATCAATTCTCCCCGCAAAAGACGGCAATCAGACGAACCCTTGGAGCGAGTCGTTTTTCCTCCGGTCCCGTCGAAAGCGGATGTGGAGTGGAAGGTTCCAATCAGAGAACGGGGGTGGTGGTAATGGGTGGGACAAAGGAAAGAGGTTGGACGTCTGGTTGGACGCTGGGTGGCGCATAGTTGCATAAAGGGAGGTCTCTATTTTATTGAGAGAGGCGTGGGAGCAGTTGTGTTAGGAAGCTGTGTGAGGTTTATTTTTTTTGGGGGGGGAAATAAAACTTAATTTTTGCAACTTTATTCAGTGAAAATATGTTTTTGGGTGCGATAAATTCAAATCTGCTATTATTTTTCAGATTGCGCAGCATTCAGTTTGGTAAACCTAGGTCGTATTAAAAAGCACATAACTGTTCTCTGAAAACCAAAGAATTTTAATTTTACCTTCTGAAAATGTCAGGTAATGCTTATTAATAATAATAATAATAATAATAATAATATATGCTCTTGTGAAAGTGCAGGTTATTACAATAATCCTGCCAGTGTTCTTACCTATTTATAATTTATCTGTAAATATTAAACAAATCATTTCCATTCTTTTATTTTTAAAAATGTTGTCTTGATTTCTTATTCTTCTGGTAAGTTTCACCATTTCTGCATACTCTATAAGTTTTTGTATCCATTCTTCTTTTGCTGGGACTTCTGCTTCTTTCCATTTTTGGGTTAGTGACATTCTTGCCGCTGTAGTATATAAGAGTATATATTTAAAGTAGATGAATAAATGAGCAAATTAAGTTAATTTGGATATGCAGAAGGTATTAAAAATAAATTTAAGGAACCGCAGAAAGTGGAGGGGAAGGAAGTCAAGTTTTGAAATGTTAAAATGATTGTAAAATCAGTGAAATGTATAAACCTGAAATGTAGAAAAAAGTAAAATAATAATAATATAAAAAACCTGCAAGTACTTGGCAATCATTTTTAATGACTTCTATGCAATTTTGCACAGATTTTACATACTAAGCAAAATAAATTACATAAATTGCACCAAAATATCTTTTGAATTCCCAAGTCACGTTAAAACGTTTTAGTACCCCTCATTTTTGGCATTTGAAAAATTCAACACACCCCATTGAGGGAGCAAGTCCTGTTGGTCTCAGTAGGACTTCTAAATAAATGTCATTAGGATTTTTATACACACGAGTTAATTTCTTTTACAGTGCAATGCTAACCGGACCTGTTCAGAAGTGAGTAAATTCATTGGGGGCTTACTCCAGGTTTGCTCAGGTTAGGATTTCAGCTTTATAAATAGAAAAATACTCACCTTTTCCTCCAAGGAGCGCAAGGTGACATACATAGTTCTCTTCCTTCTCATTTAATCCCCACAACAATCCTGAGGTATTTTAGGGTGAGAGGCCGTAACTGCCCCAAGGTCACCCAGTGATTTGAACCCTAAACTCCCAGGTATTTGTCTTAACATTCTAACCACTACACCACAGAGGTGCTCCTAATAATATTTCCTCTCATCTGTCTCTTAGATTATAAAGTGAAGTTATAGTGATTTATTATTATCACAGAATACAATGGAAGGGACTGAGAGGGACATGTGGTCCAACCCTCTGCAATGCAGGAATCTTTTGTCTTGAACCCACAACCGTGAGATTAAGAGTCTCATGATCTACCGATTGAACAATCCCAGCTACTCGCAAAGACCCAAAGACCAAAACTTTAATAAAGAATGGGGGGGAAATTACAATTTACTTGAGAGACCAGTGTAAGCAGATGAAAACACTAGCAGGATTGCAATAACACTGGTAATGTAGAAACTACTATGGACCAAATGGAGAGACATAAAACTTGTTGGATGATGAAATAATATGCAGTTGGGAAGGTTCATAATAGGGCCTGTAGAGGGGAAGGTGGGAAGTCTAGAGATTCAGAGAAATCTCTAAATATGTGTAATGTATTTGGTATTATAATCTTATGCTTCTAAAATCAAATAAAAATTATTCCCCCCCCCCAAAAAAGAGCAATCCCAGCTACAATACTTGCTCTCGCACTCATGCAGAATAAAATGACAGGGCTAGATCCGTGAGGAACAGTACAGGAAAAGAGAGCACGGGGCGTGGGGGTTTGTTCTGCTTAAGACACTTCTAGGGTCCTGACCAGAGAGGAATAGCAAACTAAGCGGATGGACTATGCCGAAATGTCAAAACTGACCGGAAAGCTCAGGAACCAAGAAGACAAAAACTTTAAGAAAGAATGGGAAAAATTATAATATACAGTGGTACCTTGGAAGTAGGACGAAATCCGTTCCGGAAGTCTGTTTGACTTCCAAAACATTCAGGAACCAAGGTTCCTGCGACCAATCAGAAGTCATGTCGAACATTTGGGTTCCAAAGAACATTAGAAAACTGGAACACTCACTTCCGGTTTTCGATCGTTCGGGATCCAAAACGTTCGACTCCCAAGGCATTTGAAAACCAAGGTACGACTGTACTTAGGAGACCACTGTAAGCAGATGAAAATATTAGCAGGATTTTAATGACACTTGTAACAATTAGAGTCAAACCTTGGTTCCCAGATGCCTCTGTTTTGGAATGTTTCGGCTCCTGAACGCTGAAAACCCGGAAGTAAGTGTTCCGGTTTTTGAACGTTTTTTGGAAGCTGAACGTCCGATGCGATTTCTGCTTGAGTGCAGGAAGTGCCTGCAGCCAATCGGAAGCCGCACCTCGGTTGTCAAACATTTCGGAAGCCAAATGGGTTCTGGAATGGCGTTTGACAACTGAGGTTTGACTGTACAATATGGATAGATGCAAAACATAGATCACGAAACTATGCAGTTGAGAACGTTCGAAATAAGACCCAAGGAGGGGATGCGGGGGGGGGGGGGGAGTTGGGAGATTCAGAGAAATCTCAATATGTGGACATTTATTTGGTATTGTTATAACTTTACACTTGTAAAACCAAATAACAATTGTTTTCTAACAGAAAAAATAAAGACACTTCTAGGAGCCGCAGCCGGTGCTACAGTTGGGAAATGAAAGAATAACTTTTGGTTTTGGCTGCCAGAGGGCAGGCATGAGCTTGTTTCATATTCCAAATGCACAAATTTGGCTGCAGACAGTCTCTGCAGCAATCTTTGCATTGAGCTGAGCTTCAGTAACATGGCACGTATTTGCATGCACAAGGTGTGGCTTTCACTTAAAAGGATTTCAAGGAGTAAACCGTGGAAAGACCTCACTGTGAGGCCTTGGGGTGCCGCTGTTAGATGGACCAGACAACATGAGGCAAAATGGGCCAATAGCCTCAGTGTAAAGCTTTATATATTTATAGAATAGAAATCCAGTCCAACTTCCTGCAATGCAGGAATCTTTTGCCGAATGTGAAGGCCCACACTTTGGAACCCAAGACTCTGAGCTTAAGAATCTCATGCATGTGCAGAGTGCATGGCACAGCCAGGCCGTCACACATACGTATTTAGAAAGGGGTTAAAAAGGTAAAGGGACCCCTGACCATTAGGTCCAGTTGTGACCGACTCTAGGGTTGCGGCGCTCATCTCGCTTTACTGGCCGAGGGAGCCGGCATACAGCTTCCGGGTCATGTGGCCAGCATGACTAAGCCGCTTCTGGCGAACCAGAGCAGCGCATGGAAATGCCGTTTACCTTCCTGCCGGAGTGGTACCTATTTATCTACTTGCACTTTGAGGTGCTTTCGAACTGCTAGGTTGGCAGGAGCAGGGACTGAGCAACGGGAGCTCATCCCATCGCGGGGATTCGAACCGCCGACCTTCTGATCGGCAAGTCCTAGGCTCTGTGGTTTAACCCACAGCGCCAGGGGTTAGCTGCTTCTAAAAGCAGGCAAGGTTTGGCTTCTCAGCTAGCTTGAATTTATATTGCAAAATTCAACTCCCTTCTCTCTCCTGTCTCTTAGACCAGTAACATTCAACATTTTCAGATCTGGAACCCACCTGTAACCCAAACATGCATTGGGTCCCCAGTTCTTTGCCATAGATTTGTTTTTCCCTCGGTAGAATTATGGATTTGGCATAGGACACTTAACTATTGGCTTCGCCTAAACTCAAATCCCCCCGGTCTAATATCCCTAGTGATGCAAGATTGTCACAAGAGAGCCTGGACTAAAATTGTTTATCAAAAACTTCACTCTTGTGGTTTATCACAACAGCTACTCACTTTGGGTTTTAGTAAAGCAAACAGTCTAATTTGTCAGCTCCTAAATGATATTGAGCGTCAGAACAACATGGCCACAATAAGGAAATTTTGCCCATGGTATGACTATTTTCCACCTTCCCATTTCGACTCTCTGGCACCCTATCTGCATAACCTAGTAATTCTAAAATATAGACATGCTTTTACTCTCGCAGGATTGAATGTATTGCCCTTGACTGTACCTGAGGGACGATTCCGACAGATTCCACACGAAAAATGCTTATGTCCCTGTGGAGATAGCAGTACAGAATCGGTGGCGTATGCCCTTCCGGCTTGCACTCTCTATAAAGACTTGAGAGATGAGGTTATCACCCCTCTTTTATTGTCTATTCTGGGTCGCCCATCCACTGCCACAGTGTCCCTTCTCTTAGCAGATCAAGATGAGCAGGTGACAGCAAAGGTTGCAAGGTTTTTAGCTGGGGCAATTAGAATACGATCCACTATTTGACTATTGATTCAAAACCCTGAAATGTATTTTATATAATTGACTTTTTATTTCTATTCTTTGTACATTGTTTTGTTGTTTTATTGCTATGGTTGATGGCTGACGCAAGTAAAGATTCATTTATTCATATGTCCGTCCCCCCAAAATAATTTTTATTTGCTTTTACAAGTGTGTATGACAATACGAAATACAAAATACATATCCATATTTAGAGATTTCTCCGAATGTCTAGACTTCCCACCTTCCCCTCCATGGGTCCTATTATCAGCCTTTTCAACTGCATATTATTTCACCATCTAAATTTTATATCATTCACTTTTATCCATATTATTTTCTAACTTTGCCATATATTTATAGGGTGGCAGTTTTACTTGGATCAAGCTATGAACCGGTAGGTGATTGTGTTGGATGATATTGGGGATACTCTCATGCTGCTACCTTGAAAATAAGTCCATCAAAGTTACTATCCCACAGAAATCTTTGCTCATCTGTGTGTCCAGACATGCCTTAGTAATTATTTGTGGAATATCAATGATCTGGGGAGGAGAGAGGAGAACCAGCTCTCTTCCAGTTTATAGAAGTGGTCAGCTGGAAACAATTCTTACTCATCACATGCTACCAGGCGAGTGGCTATTTGCAAGCCTGCTCTTGTATACATGTTGTTGTTGTTTAGTCGTTTAGTCCTGTCTGACTCTTTGTGACCCCATGGACCAGAGCACGCCAGGCACTCCTGTCTTCCATTAATGTTAGTAGCTTCGAGAACACTGTCCAACCATCTCATCCTCTGTCGTCCCCTTCTCCTTGTGCCCTCAATCTTTCCCAACATCGGGGTCTTTTCCAGGGAGTCTTCTCTTCCCATGAGGTGGCCAAAGTATTGGAGCCTCAGCTTCAGGATCTGTCCTTCCAGTGAGCACTCAGGGCTCTGTTATTGCACATTGTTGAAAGCTCCTGGCATAGCCCAGTGCTTCCTCACAATTGTGTACTTTGGAATAACAGCACAAAATATTGTATAAGGACTACCAAAAAGATTTCAGCTACTGGGCGCATGAAATTATGAGATGTACCTAAGCCCTGCTCAGAGTAGACGCAATGAAATTAATGGGCCTACGTTAGACACAATCTGCACTGTATAGTTATAGCAGTACTGTGCTACTTTTAAACAGCCATAGCTTCCCTCAAGGAATCCTGGGAGGTGTTGTTTGTGATGGGTGCTGACAGTGCTTTTTTTCCTGGGGGTACGCATACCCCTGAACATTTTGTGAATCTTCGTACTTTTGTCCATTTACTGTATTTACTTTCCCCGATTTGAACTATAAAATGGTGATTCTCTTGAGTCAAAATGAGAGTATCCCTAAACATTTTTAAAGAAGAAAAGCACTAGGTGCCGAGAGCTGTTGTGAGATTCTACCTTGGGGCGTTAGTCATGATCAAGGCATCTACTTTGAGTAGAATTCACACTGGATACAGCCCCAAGTTTCTGTGCGCATTCGCCACAAGGTTTCATACTGCATATCTGTTTTGATTAGAAAGCCTATCGTAGGAAGAAAATCCCATCATTAAAGGCTGACATCGTTCTGCGCTTTGTGTGTGTCAGAAGGATTTGCTTTCCCTGCTCTTCTCTGAGTGATTCCTCTGTCTGGATCCTTCCAGCCTGTCTCTTTGTATTCACACATCACACGTACTTATGCTGCGATCCTATAAACACTTACCTGGCAGACTCATGCAACTCAAAACGGGCCTTACTTCTGAGTAGACATGCATAGGATTATGTGGTTAGGCTGGTGGGCATTATCTTTTATAAAGAATAAAATATCTATTTTGGTGTTTTTAATATCCACTAGATGGCAGAGAAACATCAGTGATGGATATTCCTCTCATCAGAGAAGAGTGATTTTAAGGGGAGTAGTTTTAAAGGGAAAATAATCAAAATATGATCCAGTATTTCTCTTTGGAGTAGATTGTGCCTCAAATCCACCTATATAATTTGGCAAATGTTTTGATAGTATTCAGGAACTACATCACTAAA